GAGAATGACCTTTCTAAATTATTTTTAGGGGAACAATTCAATTGTCCTTTAGAAAATCTTATTTCTGCTTCTATCTGTGTCTCTGACCGATTCTACCCAGTGTTGACGGAGGAGAACAGAACTTGGCAGAAATATGATGAGAGGGCCTTTTCCAGCAGAAAATAGATAAATAAAGACAGGCTGGGAATATCTCAGTGAGAATGGTACCAGCTGACTCACTGGCTTAAACAGTAAAGAAAGTATTTATCTCCCATAACAAGGAGCTCTAATTAGGGCAGCTTCAAAGTGGGTCAATTCAAGGACCAGGCCAGTTCTTGGCATCATTCTGCTTTGCCATCTTTAACTTATCAGTTTTGTCCATAAAGTGGCTACATAATTCCCAGGTACCACATTCAGGCGTGACAAGTTCCCTTGGAAGAATAGACAGTTTTTTTCCAAGTCTCCTTTCAAGGTGAGGAAACTTTTCCTGGAAGCCACCCAGCAGAGTGTCCCTCAGGTCTGTGTCTCCGTGGCAGGTCTGTGAGACCTGCTCCCATGAAAGCAATCCCTGGCCGGGGCACGGGGCCACCGCCACTGCCCAACGCCGGGCCTTCCGGCTGAGGCTGGACCTTCCCCCAGAGGGGGAGATTCCTGGACCAAAGCTTGCTGGCTAACAAAGAAGTGGGTATCGGACGTTGAGTCTGCAACAAGGTCTAATATTTGGGGCAAGAAAGACTAATATTTGCTTGGCCCTATTCTGTGCCAAGGGCTTTACATGGATTCTTTTGCTTAAACCGTACAGTAAATTATAAAGAGAGTAAAATGGGGATGGTGTTATTCCCATTCGACTCACAGTGAACCTGAGGCACGGAGAAGCTAATTAAATTGCTAAAGGTCACCCAAGAGTAAGCGATAGTGTCATCATTCAAACTCAGGTTGGCCTGACCTCCAAGGCCAGGCTTCTTCCATATCACACAAGTCTTAAGTAACAGGTGTCTGTCAATGTGACCTTTATTACAAATCTCCTTGATAAATTATCTTAGTTCCTAGTACATCTTAAGAATATTACTATGTTATGTATGCTGTTTAATGACCTGTTTTAAAGAATACTTGCCAATCTCACGAGTGAGAAATGTACCTTGTTTTCATTTGCTAGAGTTTGCATAAGCCTTAACACTCTATTCTTTACCCAGCAACCAAAGGAGTCCTTTGAAAGGTAAGTCAAATCCTGTCATTCCTCTGCTCAAAACCTCCAGTGGTTTCTCATCTCAGAGTAAAACCCAAAATTGGAGTCCCTATAGTTGCTTTCAAGGCATTATAGGAACAGTAATCTTTCTGTCTCTGTTACCTTTTATATCACAATTCTTACTCCTGTCTCTTTCACTCACCCACTTCAGACACACTGGCTTCTTTGCTCTTATTCAAATATGCTACCACACTCCTGCCTCAGGGCCTTTGCACTTGCTGTTCTCTCTGCCTGAAATGCTTTTCCCAAGGACAGCTGTATGGCCAGCTCCCTTACCTTCAACACATCTTTGCTGAAAAGTGACCTTCTCAGTGAGAGCTGCAGTAACCAGTCTACATAAAACATTCTTTATCTTCCTTCCATGATTTATGGGAGAGCACTTATTACCTTCTAACATACTATATAATTCTCTTATTCATTTTGCCTCTCTCCCTCCAACCTGCACTAAATATATATTCTAGTAGAGCAAGGACTTTTGCCATTTTGTTCAGTGATGTATTCTTGTGTGCTGAGATCAGCGTCTGGCAGACAGTATGTGCTCAATAAATATTTGTTGACTGAATGAGTTTTTTCATGTATAAATGAGTGATGTTAGTTATATTTCTCCTTTTATTAACTGATTGTCATGTCCTTTGCTTATTTCTCTATTAGGTGTTCAAAGTTTTTATTGATTTCTATGAACTCTTCATATTTTAAGGATATAAATCTGGCAAATATTTTCTCCAGTTTTTTTCCCTGTCTTTTACCTTTGTGTGTGTGTGTATGTTAAAAATATTTAAAATTTTATGTAGTCAAATCTAGAAATCTTTTCCTTTATGGTCTTCTGTTTTATTAGGACAAGTTGACAAAAGAGAAATTTTACTTATAAATTGTTTAGTCAAAGCACGATGGGGCCGGCCCCGTGGCCGAGTGGTTGAGTTCTCGTGCTCCGCTTTGGCAGCCCAGGGTTTCACTGGTTGGGATCCTGGGCGCAGACGTGGCACCGCTCATGAGGCCATGTTGAGGCGGCGTCCCACATGCCACAACTAGAAGGACCCACAACTAAAAAAAAAATAATACAACTATAATTGGGAGGCTTTGGGGGGAAAAAAAAGAAGATTGGCAACAGTTGTTACCTCAGTTGCTAATCTTTAAAAAAAAAAAAGCATGAACTGTGCCTAAATTTTTTCTACATTTATTATATTTGAGTTTCTACTATTTGTGGATATGTAGTACTTAGAGTATCTGAATAATCATTTAAACTTTTTGATGTATAATCACATTTATAGGATCATTTTTCTCCTGGGTGGTTTATCTGGTGAGCAAGAAGGGTTGATCTGTTACTGAAGCCTCTCCTTTTACGCTCATTTAAGGAAAATGATTTCATATGCAGGATGATTAAAATTACAAAACATTTGGGTGTGTTTACAATATTTGCATATACTTATTAAGTTTTAAATATATTCCCCATGTAACATAGAAATAAAAGGTTACTAGGCTATAAATCTAAATCACTAGGATCTGGTGTCATTGGAACATTGATGATAACAGAGTCCACTCACAAATTCTATTCTGTGTTTGACAGTAAGTCCTTTCAAAACTGAACTTGGTTGCATACATTTTATTTATTCCACCCCCTTCCCTGAATTTTAAATGTTAAAAATGTCTAGTTGCTTAATGCGACATTTGAACTGTTACAAACACTACTTTCATGTACCAAATTTTAAATTCACATTCTTTTATCAAGAATACTATCAGAAAAATATAGAAATATAATGATTATGCTGCTTTTAGGAAACAGAATGCCAATTCTTCCTTCCTTCCTTCATTATTCAATTATGTCTTTTTGTTACAACAGATTCTGATGGTGCGCTGACAGATAGAAAGGTCAGTTCAGTCCTTTGGAACTTAAAAATAACACAACAAAAAAATTCTTTTTTTACGGTATGGTGGATCATAAAACATTTTAATGTATTTTTCCTTTTACTGTTTTCCTCCAAAGGATTCTGAAACTGTTTAAAATAATTTGTTCCGGATGGGGTCATTTCCACCTTTCTATCCACAATAAAACAAGTTATTTAAATTCTTTAACCTACACATTACTCTTAAATGGGAGTATTTAAATCAGGATTGTGCTAATGAAGTAATGGAAACGGAATAACAAAACTCTATCAGAAAGTCAGTCAATCTTCCTATTCCCTTACATCCGGCTAAGTGCGTGGCTCACACAGGGATCAGCTTAGACTGAAACAATATGGCGTTGGAATTGCTGGTTTCTAACTACTCAGTACCGTGTGGCCCGGAGGCAGGCTTCAGTGTTGCAGAATCTTTAAAGTGGGCTGTAACGCCCAGGCCCGCCTCGTGGAGTTGCCGTGAATCCCTTGGGTAATTAACACACACTTTGCAAGCTGGATGTGTGAGTGAGCCTGAAGGAAGGTGGGGGTGGCTTGCAAGCCTTTTTTCTGCCTGGGGATAGGACGCCTCACGAGCCAGTGCTCCCCTTACCGTCATCTCTGCTCCAGCTCTCCCTCCCACCAGCCCACAAATGACCATGGCTGACCACGGACCAAGCAGAGGACCTAGAAGGGTATCGAAGACCTACCGATCAGAATGCTCCCAGCCCCGCCGCCTGCAGCTGCCTTCCTCTCTTTAAGCCTCAGCTGCTCTGGGTGTAAAACGAGCAAGAAATAGCACTAACTACAGAGTTGTTCTGAGGGTAAAAGGAGGTAATGAAAGAAAGTTTGTTTATAATGGGTGAAAATGGTCTTTTCTAACCCTTTCTTCCCCTCCTACTGAAACCTCTCCAAGCCTGCCAACCGCAGCAGGGCTGAGGCTTCAGAACAACATTTCAATCAGGGGTCTGCACGGAAATGAGCGTGCTTTTAATCAATTCAGTAACGCTAAGGTGTAAATGACTGGTACGTACAGGTGGCTGGGAGGAAAATTGTGCATTTTAAAGGAGTATTAACTGACTGGAAGGATTTCAGAAAATATAGAATCTGTTTTTGTTTTTGTAGGAGGGTGAATCGAGTTCCCTGAGCCCTTCACTCCAGCCCTGAAACCATGCCTCGTAGGTTTAAAGCGGATTGTGGGAGGGGACATTTAACATCACGTTTGATTAACGAGTCCTCGAGCTCTAAAACTAGTTCTCCCCTCTTTGCACCAAGTGGCCTCCCAGATCATAACGACCTTGGCCGTGCTTATGTGGGCATGCACCCTCGCTAGAGAGGAGGGCGAGGGGGAAAGACCGAACCTCAACGGAATTACCAGAAAGGATGTTTTCATTTGAATAAACCCAACCCAGGGTTACCTCCCCACTCATCTCCGCTAACTTTAACCCAGGGGTCAGGACGGGGCGGAGCGGCTGCAGGACGCCCGAGGGTCTGCGCGCCCCCGGCAGGGCAATCTCCGCCGCCACCCGCTGCACCCCGGGAGGGGTCAAGCAGGGCAGGGACAGCGCCGAAAGTTCGCCGGTCCGCTCCCGCCCTCCCCAAAACCCGGGCGAGCGGGCGGGGTCGCTGCGCGCGGAGGAGCGGGCCGTTTCCGGGAGGCTGGGGAAGCGACCCCGAGCACAGCCCCAGCAGGCGCGGGCCCGAGCCGGGCTTTCCGGGTTCCACCCACGCTGCCGGGGAAGGGCAGCCCCCACCTGCGGCCGCGCCCGCGGGGAGCAGAGGGGAGGGCCGGGGAAGGCCGGGGAGGGGCGGGGCGCCCGCGGCCCGCGGAGCCCGGAGCCGGGCGGGGAGGCGAGGAGGCGGGGAGCCGGGGAGGGGCGGGCGGGCCGAGTGAGCGGCGGCCGCAGCTGCAGCAGGACGGCCGGCCGGCGGTCGGGGCGGCGCGCCGGGAACCTCGCGGGGCGGGCAGGCGCCGCACCCCAGCCTGGCCGCCTGCGCCCCCCGCGCGCGCCGGGACCAGCAGCATGAGCAGCGGCTACAGCAGCCTGGAGGAGGACGCCGAAGACTTCTTCTTCACCGCCAGGACCTCCTTCTTCCGGAGGGCGCCCCAGGGCAAGCCCCGCGCCGGCCAGCAAGTGAGTGGCGCGCGCGGCGGGGGTTCGACCCGCGCCCCCTCGCTCCCGGGGGGCCCGGAGGTCCCGGGGCGGCAGGACCCCCGCCTTCACGTGTCTCCTGGGGCGCGCCGGGGATGCCCGCGGGGAGGGAGGAGGAGGCCGCCGACAAGGGCTTCTCCATCTGGATGCCGGGGTCGTGCCTGGCGCCGGTGCCTGTGCGCGCGGGGCGCCTGGGCCGGGGAAGGGGGAGGACGGGCGGGAGGCCGAGAGACCGCTCTGCTTCCGCGCCAGATGGCTTCTGCCGCCCCGGGGGCCGTCCGAGAGCCGGGAGGCGTCCGGGCCACCCCCGGCGTCCCCAGCGCAGGCGGCGGTCGGGGCCTCCCTCTTGGTCCGTTCAGTGGCCGGCGGCCCCAGAGAGGCTTGGGGGCCGTGCGGTAGCCTGGAGCGCGGGGGGTGGGGTGGGGGTGGCCTTGGTGCCTGGCCTCCACCACCTTCACGCTCCAGGCGCCTCTGGTCTGCGGCGCTGGGAGAGACGCGCGGCCTGGCGCCCGTGGGCGTTCCCTGAATCCGGGCTGCGGGAGTCGGGGTCCTGCATTCCCGTACAGTCAAGTTTATGGTGACCCGAAGGTTTTGCAAACAAGTTCCGGTGCTAGGTACATGCCAGCGGGCGCGAGCCGAGCCGCCGGCCGGTTTCTTCCTTTTTTGGAGGAAGCACGCCGTGGGAAGCTCGGCTTGGGAAAAGATGGGACGGGAACTGGGCCGGTGTCGCCGACCGGGACCGTGTTTTTCAGGGAGGCCTCCCCGAAATGGGGCACTTGGGTGGACTCCTAAGTCCGGCGCTTAACCCGCGGCCTCCGGGCCCTGGAGCCACCCCAGGAGGCTGCCAGCCAGCCATGCTCGCGTCAGACGGGAGAGGGCTGTCATGGAACGGATTTCTTGCTTTTAAAAAATAACAGGCGCGCAGCAAACAGTGCTGTCCGATTGGGTCCTGGAGACTAGAAGCAGGGAAAATCGTTCAGGGCCAGCCGATGAGTTATGGGGGCTGAGAACGGAGTAATGTGTCAGGCTTTCCTTGCCAGACCTTTTAAGTTTATTTAAGCACTTTCTGAGGTTAGGTTTCTTTTTAAGATTCGGAAATTCTAATCTTTCCAACCTCTTAATTACCAACCCAGAAGTGGGAGAGGGCTGGGGGAGAGGGGACAGTGAAGGGCGCGGGGGAAGTCAGGGGCCCTGCTCAGTAGCGGGGAGGGCTGCGCCGAGTCCAGGTGCACCGGCGTCCCCTCTGTGTGCTGTCGAAGGCTCAAGGCCGCGCTGGTTTGCTGGTTACTTTGAGTGATGTCCCCGTCAGCTCGGGCTGCTGTAACGAACACCATAGACTAGGTGATTGAAACACAGATACTTATTTGGAACTCTTGTGGCTTAAGCACAAATATTAAGCACAAATATTTATTTCTGACAGTTCCGGAGGCTGGAAGTGGGAGATCTGAGTGTCGGCATGGGTGGTTTGTGGTGAGGACGTCTTCCTGGGTTTCCTGGCTTGTAGACGGCTGACTTCTTGCAGAGTCCTCACCTGGAGAAAGGGCTGACCCTCTGTCCTCTTAGAACGACCCAGCGTGGGTCCACCCTCATGTGCTGATTACCTCCCAAAAGCCCCACCTCCAGATCCTTTCCTATTCGGGCTTCCTCATATGAATTTTGGGGGAGACACATTCAGTGTGTAGCAAGTGATCTTTTATTTTCTCGTGACATGAGTTTGCTGTGACGGTTGGAAGTCAGAAATCCCCTCTACCTGCAGGGGTTATGGAAGAATTGCATTTCCTTGTGCTTTTTTTCACTTTGCTTTTCTCTTTCTTTCTTGGCCTCCTGTTTCTTTCCCTTCTCTGTTTTTTCTCCTTCCATTTGTTGATGTTGCTGTCGCATTTGACACTGACTTGAGCGTGTCAGAGATGGTTGTGCTAGTGTGAAGTCTATGTCAGAGGTGGCTAGTATCCAGAACACTTGCTGGCCTTGGATTCTCCAAGTGTGAGATGCCCCTTAACATCAAGGGTCAGCGTATCCAGGTCGGAGTTGCACAAGAATGATTTGATGCTTTAAAAAGTAAAATGTCAGTTTTTCCTGGGTTTATACCCATGCAGTGTGTCTGCGATATACTCATTAATTTCTGGAATATTCATCCAGCATATATATTATACTCATATGATGTTACTTATTTAGCATTCAGAATTAGGCAAGCATTTATGTATATTTCGAGGTATTGTGCTGAAAGTCAGGACAGTGACACCTAGTTCTTTGTTCGAAGAGCTTAAAGTATATTCTGCAGCTTTATTTCCTGTGTATTTCTCCCTCTAACATAACATATGCAAGGTGCTGAGTTATAGGACTTCTTTGCCAGGGGGAGAAAGTGTTTTAAACTCTGACTTTTAGTGGGCATTTTGGTTTGTTCAAAGAAGTGACAGAGTGAGTCTGTTAGATTTCTGATAAGATTTGTGAGTTAAGGAAGTAAAACTTATAAATCAAGGCACTCTAAATATAACCTAAGGTTAGATAAGCCTTTTTTCATTTTGTTATGCTGGTGATTGTAAGAATAAGGTAAGCACTTGTGACGTAAAGGGTAGAAGTGAAATGTATCTTTTCTCTAGAGTGTTGGAAAGAGGTGTTGCCATAGGGATCTATTATTGATAAAAGTGAATGTTTTTGGTGCCGAACCACCTGTGGGAAAGCCAGGAAAATGTGGTTTCTAGAACTCTTGAAAATATCTAGAGAAAGCAAGATGTTTGTGGTAAATGCAGGATGGAGAGAAAGGGGGAGGAGGGTGAGAAATTTTTTTCTTCTCTTTCCAGGCAAAGCAGCAGTCCGACACATCTTTCTGTGTTCAACGATAAGAAAAATCTTACAGATATAAAGAAAATGTTATCATTTTCTTGTTTTATGTTGGTACCGTCTTTAAAAAAAAAAAGAAAAAAGGAAAAGGCTTTTAAAAACCTGTCTGAAAGATAGAAAGGGAATGTTCGAACATGTGGCCTGTTTGTGTCAGTTTGAATGTCAGCTTATTGCTGTATCCCCAGGGCCTTGGTCAGTGCGTGACACACAGTGGTTGGTCAGTGAATATTAGCTGAATGACGGAATGCCTTCCTGGTTTGATAATAATTGGCTCTTTATGGGTTTTCAGTGTACCCTGTCTTAGGATTCTCCCAGGAGCCCTCTGGAGCAGGAACCTAATGAAACTCAGAGCCTTGTTAAGGGCTTCGCCCAAGGGCCCACACTTAGACAGGGGCAAGGCTGGGACTCAAGTTTTCCGACTCAAATTGCACTCTCCTAGTTGTTACTTCTTGGCTATAAAAGTAATTTTAAAATTCGGTTTTCCCTTTGCAAATATGGACGTCTATGATTTAGGACTTTCTTAAAGTGTTGACCCCCTATTCTGTATACATCTTCATCACGGTGTTCGTAATTCATCCTTGTGGATTTGCTATGTTGTTGTTTCACGCAGAACCAAGAATGTGGACAGTTGTGTAATTCATCCTTCTCCTTTTCTGATTTTCCAACAAAATCAAATACAGGACGTGTTCAGACTTCCAAGAGCAGAGATGGACTCCAGTGATTCCTAGGGTGACCTACTGCAGCCTGTCTCACCCCGCAGCTAAGGTGCTCACTCTTTTTCCTGAGCCTTTGGTAGTTAACAGGAATAAGGAAATGAGACTCTGTTTTTGCTTTAGAAGTCGAATAGTCAAGAAGTCTTGAAAAACCTGAACTTGTCTTCTGAACCACCCACACTTTTACAAAAGTTATATTGAAGATTGGTTTAATAGGGCAAGTCCGTGAGACTGCACAGACAGGCCTCAAGGTTGCCCTGTGGGTTTTCTCCTTATGGTAATAGAAATATCTTTGTGGCTCTCTGGTTCTGTGTCTTGTCGCTGGAATCAACAGTAATGCGTTGCATTATTTTATTCAGTGCTTTTATTAGAAGTTTTGGCGATAGACCCACTAGGGCAAAAGAATAACAGTTTGCAAATCAAAGGTCTGTTGGCTGTCCTAACATTTTATACTAACCGTTAGTCCCTCTGTGACTGACTGGAAACATTCCCGCCAGTCCTTTTGCCTGGTGCCCGGTGATTGGCACATCTTGTCTTCGTGTCTGATACAATCTGTTCGTACACAGTATTAATCCATTGGAATTTTGTGTTTGTGTGAGCAGGACTCTCAAAGTCACATTCCTTTAACTGAATTTCAAAAGAAAGTTAGTCACCAATCTCACATACCTCAATATGAACAATACACTCTCTACCCCATTTCTTCTTCTGGCTAACTTGCAAGATTTGGAATTATTTGGAAAGCAGTGACACAAAACATTTATGAAAAGAAAAGCTAAAAATATCCAATAATGTGGTTATTCTTTTTAGACTTCCTTTGGCAGTCAGTGCAAGTCACACTGTAAACATTCATTTTCTGGGAGGAAAAAGCCAGGCTGAGCAAATGCTTTCTAGTGTGGCCTGATCATCAGCTCTTAGCCCCGAGCACCAGCTCTTGCTTACCCCCAACTTCCTACAAGTAGCCATCTTTTAATAAAGGCTCCAGTTCCAGGCTGGCTTTTCAGCTCTAATTTGGCCCAAGGCCATTAGCCAACCTGGGAGGCCCCTCTTCAGAAGGATGGAGAAGGAATCGGATATAAGATAGATGCAGGCAGAGGAGCTGCTCTTCTGAGCTGACTTAGCCTGTTTGCCTCCTTATCTCATTGAATTGAATGAAGAGCCAGTGTATGTTGCCTGGAAGGAGTTTGTTATTCTGGCTAAGCAAGCCTCTTCCAGGCCCAGCTTATTGGTCACTCTCTGGTGTAACAACTTTTAAGTAACAGTGTGTAACCAGGACTCTAGTCATATTAGCCTCTTCCTTTCAGGACCCAAGTTGTTCTCCATCTCAGAGCCTTGGCCTGGCGTTGCTTCCCTCAGTTCTTCCCATGTCAACTTAGTGTCACTTTCTCGGAGAAGTCGTCCTGAACCACCAGTCCGAAGCAGGCTCCCTCC